GAAAAGCTTTAAGTATCTCGGACACCAGCTCAGTTTCACAGAAGGCAGCAGCGGAGAGTACAGCAGGCGCAGGAAGGCAGCTTGGTCTAGCTTCAACAAAATTTCAACGCTACTAGACGAAGACCTCCCGATGAAACTGGAAGCGTCCCTTTTCCACTCGACTGTGATACCCGCGGTTTTGTATGGCGCAGAATGCTGGTCGTCTACGAAGGCAGACGAAGAGAAATTTGCTGTAATGCAAAGATCTATGGAACGCAGAATTTGCAAGGTGTCACTTCGTGAACATATCACAAACACAGAGTTACGAAGACGAAGTGGCCTTGTTGATGTTGTCCAGGAAATGTATAAACGTAAACGAGAATGGGCCGGTCATTTGGCACGATTGAAAGACAACCGATGGACCTTCCGGCTGACGAATTGGGTCCCATTGAACTACAAGCGAAGGCCTAAATTGAGATGGGCCGATCCTATGGTGAATATGCTCGGCCAACAATGGAAACGACGTGCGCAGGACCGGAACGGATGGCTCAAAGTCGACTTGCGTGAATGGAGAAGTTCGCGAGGACAAGTCGGATACAGGTGATACATGGAGTTCCCCATTGTAAGCTGGATTCCGCTTTTTCCGCTTTTTCCAGTGAGTTTGGTGGAATACTTCACTTTTTTTTGTCAGCTGTCATCCTGGTCGTAATCAATTTCTTTAGGCGGGGAAAATCAATTCCCCATCCGTTCCTCTCCATAGTCATTGCAATATAATGTTCAATCCTTCTTCACGGAGGCACAACGAGCCAATTTAGAGGGGAAACTTTTATAAAGAGTTTTGTCATCACGCGCGCAATCGCTAGCGTATACATCTAAATGGATAACGCACCGCTGCCGCTAAAGTCATCATAAAATAAAATGTCGTGTCCACCAGTCACCAATGATGAAAACGTTTCAGTATCCCTCTAGAGCATGATCTCGTTGCATGAGCTTGTCAGTGTATTTTTCAAAGGTAGCCACAAAGATAGTAAAGTGAATAAGTGAGGCACATTTCCCGATTATTCCGAGGCTCCAAATTGAAAAGTGGGAGTGTTGAAGGAAATCGGCGCGTTTGTGGCGGGAAAAAATTGAGAGGTTCCGCGGAAATAGTGAAATCTGATGTCTCAAAGTTGTACAGCAGGGCGTTGTATGAGATCACCACGAGGGAAACAACATATGAGATCAGTATGTGGACGAGAATTCAGTCGTTGCTATTGCTTATGGGTTGACTACAGGAAACATTCTAATCTGCCTTCTATTGACGCCGTGGGTCACGATTCGTTCGAAGTTCTGACAGCTCTCTCCAATTGTGCAGGTGCTGTTTCTATCGTTGAACTGGGTATGGCAGTGCACCGTTGGGTATGGCATACGGGTCCTACAGTCTTTGACTCTATATTACGCCCTTCAATATCCTTTTCTAATTCAACAGCACCGCATACGGCTGAGGCCTGAAATCCTCTTCGAGGAATAACTCGGAAACCGTTTCCATCGTGAACTGTGCCTTCAAAACATGGATGCGGCTAATTTCGAAAGGATTTGTAGAAAATGTAAAATAGTAAGAGACAGAGAAGATAGTTCTGAAGAAGGCGGAAGGAAGGAATTGTTGGTATTGATTGCATCGTGTACGAATCCAGCAGAACTGTCAGTATTGCCCGTTCCTCGGTTACTAAACTTTTTCGAAGGTCCCCCTTCGTGCAAATGCTATGAGTTCGATATTACTTCGATGATTCTGATCTCTGGGTACTGTATGAACAAATTCGGTTTCCAAGTCGTGTGAGGCTTAACTTCCCTGTCACATCTGCTTCTGATCTCGTTGTCGTGTGAAAACGCGCTCTTGGTAGGGTAAGCGCTCACTGGTAGAGATGGCTCTTCGATTCGTACGGTCTCCATGTGAAATCTGGCAGGTTTAAAGTTTAGTTCACAAATGTTTATACTTGGGTGGGTGCGAATGCGCATGCGCAAAATGAGCATGATAAATGATAAATGCGCAAACAGCTAAGGAAGGATAAGTCGATAAGACTAGAACAGAGATGTGTGTATGACCCTCCCAAAGTCAAGCCTCAGTGATTATCAAAAAAAATGAGAAAACTTCCGCTCGTTTCACTGTTCATCNGCCAATCGATCAGAAAGGTAGTTCCACGAACCCTTTGTTTTGATAGTTTTGTTTTTGTGTTTCTATAGTTATCCGTCTTTCATTATTAACTTTGGTTGCTGAAGGATTCCTGGACCACTCAGAGCAAAGACTTATTGTTATGGAGTAAAAAAATTGGGTTCTGAAGCCTACGAGAAGGTAAGAAAAAATAATCGTGGAAATATTATGATATGGATCAAGCAGTCATCCGACCGAAAACGGGTATGGGTACATTCGCTCAAAACTGAATGGACGCGGCAAACTGTGCGGCGAAATTCGTGGTGATTGAAACTGAAACTTGGAACCAGCTGGTGCTACTTATCTATCCCACTTCAAATTTGTGCCCCAATAATAGGTGCCAGAGACGTTTTAATCACCATGAATTTCACCGCACGGTTTGCCGTCCCTCCAGTTCTGGGTGAACGTTCCGTCCTACACCGAAAACAGTGACCTAGGTGATGGAAATGGCTCTCATCGAAAGAGAAAAAGGAAATAGACTGGAATACAGGAACTTGAAATATGGTCTCGCATGCCACGAAAACCAAAAAAAGATTAAAAGGTTCGTTGTTGTTAAATTAAAGCCGGGTACCTATGAGGTGGTAAATACATTTTCAGGTTTTTGAGATCAGCTGTAGAAGAGGAATCGTTTGCAGATGTAACTGAGATATTCAAATCTGTAGCTAAAAATCACAACGCCAATGTCCTTTTCACGTTTCTCAGAGAGAATTGGGAGCAGATCTATGGAAGGTTCATTTTATTTTCGACTTTTTAAAATAAATTAACTACGATGTGCATTCCTGTTCCCTTCCTGCTCCCCTTACCTCTTCCCTCAATCTCGCTTTCATTTTTCTTCCCCACATCCTTTCCCTGGTGAAATCACTACCGTTTAAGACTTTTCTGCACGGAGCACGAGAAGTGTGTTTTAGGTTCCAAAACAATAGCAAAGAACTGTATGCTGTTGTTGAAGCAGGTCTTTCGAGAACACACACGAAATCTGATATTCGGAAGGTACGCTGCCTATATTTCAGATTATGATCAGCTATGACATTTTGATAGGCTTATTTCAAACCTTCTCGTGCTCTTGTTGACATATGATACAGTTTCCATCTCAAAACGAATTCAGCAATTCTAAGCACTATTCTGACGGTAACGGGTAGTGATGTAGTGGTGTTGTCCGGTGCCCTTCGATCGAGATTCCGAAGAAGATGTTGCGCAATACCGCAATTCTGGTGCTGTTTGAAACACCCTCTCACTGCTTAATCAGCATCATTGAGCTCAAACCAGAAAAAATACTTCGTCTGAAAGCACTTCCAATTTTACTCATTTATGAAGTTATTTATTTGTTTCTATTGTACACCACTCGGATCGCCCGGCTAACTCAAGGCTCTCCTTCTTGTTTCAAACACCCTATCCTTTTTTCCCTCCTTCAGAATTTATAGTCTTTAACTTTTTCTCCGCTGTTTACCTGAGTTTAAGCTTCTATCCACTGAGTGAGAGTATGAGACTGAAACAGAGCTCGAAATACTTTTCGGCTCAACAGAAATCGGAAGCTTCCCTCTTTCTTTGATGTTGTAGTGAGTCTAACTCTCCACTGCTTTTTTGAAACGAATGACAGTTTCCTGTATACGAAATTTGACACAGGACTAACAGGGCAGTGCAAATGGTATTCAGGTAAAGACGGTGCTTACGCCTTTGATTGGAAGTCTCGAACTTTTGCTCTTTTTCTTAGAAATAAATATCTTCTCGTTCTTATTTATAAAGTAGTAACTTTGTGTGTCGGTTTGTAGGTTTGTCTGTTTGTATGTCTGTCCGTCCGAGAAATTTATCCTACTTATATAATCGGCTAAGTGTGTCTGTTGGTGTGCTCGTGTGTTTGTGTATGTGTATGTGTGTGTGTGTCTGACCGGAAATTCATAACTCCTGTTCCCGTGGACCGAAAGCGTTCAAACATGGTGGGAGTAAAGGCGGCAGGATGGGAACACTAATGGTGGATGGCAGGATTAGACTCCGCCCACAATGGGCGGGGTTTGTGAGAAATAAATGTTCAAGCAAAAATTCGTAGCTCTCTCCCCGTGTTCCTAGAGCACTCAAACTCGGTAGGAATACGGGCGGCAGGATCAGAACACTTATGGTAGGTGGTAGGATCAGACTCCGCCCAAATGGGCGGGGTTTGTGCAAAAATTCACAACTCCTGGGTGGCAGGATAGGAACACTAATGGTGGATGGCAGGTTCAGACTCCGCTAACAGTGGGCGGGGTTTGTGCAAAAATTCACAACTCCTATCCCCGTGATCCTAGAGCGTCCAAATTTGGTAGGAGCTATGGGAACAGGATGGGAACACTCATTGTAGGTGGCAGGACCACCCCGCCCATAGGGGCGGGGATTGCGCGGAAATTGTCAATTAGGCCTTAGAGCGTTGAAACATGGTAGGAGTACAGGCGACAGGATGGGAACACTTAGTATAGGTGGCAGGACAAGATCCCGCACCTCAAAGAATCGTTTTTGTGGTATTATACAATGTTCTTGCCGGACACAGCGAAGATGGCTTACAGAAAAAATCGCTCCCAATTCGGGCTAATACTGAGAGTGTAGAGCTTTCAAAGCAAGAGGAGAATCCGAAGAGTTATTTACGCGTAGCAAATTTCTTACAGGAAGGAGGACCGCCCGGCAATAAGAAGGAGGGAAGCCTAGCGTTTGCCGGGCGGCCCGACTGGTGAATACGATAAAGGTAGTGATATGGAAGACCTAGCTCTATTCTACGCTTCCGTCTTTATGTATATGAAGCAGTGAATTGAAAAAGGTGGGTAGGCGAGTGGAGTGCTTGGAGAAGCGAGTGCTTCGATATTGTGACTTCGA